CCGAACCAAGTTTGACTTTGCGCGTCCAGTTTAGAAATTTAGTTTCTGAGTCTTAGGCCCTGTTTGCTTTCTGGGATAAGGTAGGATATCCCGCTTTATCCTGATTTAATCCCATGTTTGGTTGCTAGAATCCGGCCCTGGATAGATTGGTCGGCCCGGGATAAAAATTGCTTTTATCCCATGAATTCAGGATAATTCCATCCCCCCTTTTTGGTGGGATTACACCAATCCCAGCCCTTGTAAAGTCAAATTTACCCTCACTTATATCTTTTTCAGACGATTTTAACCCTCCCTGACGCACAAATTACTACCCTGCCAATATATTATCGAGATTTTGATCTTTTCCATCTTCATATCGCAACACGCCATTTTTATGAACCCTAGCCCGAACTGAAATTTCAATACGGCTTCATCTCCCTCGTCAAGGGTCCATCTATTCTCAAGGTGACATCTCCGGCGTACTCATCTCCAAACTTGAGAACGGTACTTTTTCCGTTCCATTTGTTGACTCTGTTGTTATGAAATATAAATTATCGCGCATCCTAATGACTTCTTTCAATTTCAAATTAATTATGAAATTGATTCTTTACTGAAATGTTTCAATCTTAGTTGGCATTTGTGCTTGTTACAGTAATGTTTGATTCTTTTTCCGTTCCTTTACAACAGAGTCGTTTGCTAATGTTGGCCATTTGTATTCATATTAAAAATAATTATTTCAATTTTGTTATGTTTTCAATTTTATTTATCATATATGGACTTTTTATTGGTTTTCGATTTCCTGGTTTCAGAATTTATAGAAACATGTATTAATCTTTGTATTATGAACTTATTAAATAATTTGATAAATTGATCAGAAATAACCATGCTTATGTTTGTTTTCCAGATTTTTCTATCTAAATAGAATTATGTTATGTGTATGATTTTTGGTGCAGGAATTAAAGAATGTTGATATATGGCAGGTTTGATTTTAATACATATAACAAATTGTCCATAAGAAGATGTTATTTCCTGTAGAAAAATATAATGTGGATGCCTGTGTATTTGTCTGCATATTGAAAGACCACAATAAAAATTACCTTTGGTTGCTATTATAGTCGTTTATGTGTATATCTACATTTATGGCAGTGTATTGAATCAACAGAGTTCACATTCTAGAATGATCATTTTGGGACTGATTATGAAGAATATTGACCCCCTTTTTTAGCTCATATTTGTATCTTTTTTGCTCCTTGTTCTATTCGAAATCGTCCAGATCGTCTATATAGTGGGTTATCAATAAAGAAATTAAATGCTTAATTTGTAAGAGCTCAATGAAAAATAAATGCTTTTTTCATGTAGATATTTATCCAGTGTTGAAGATAACATAGTGACTAATTGTGAAGATAACATAGTGATTAATTTTAGATGAATAGTGGTGCAAGTTTACATTTCCACTGTACAAACATTAACTGAAACTATGTTTTTAATTTCAATATTGAAGCAGTATTGAAGGTGAAGAGTGGAACAAGTTGATTGGAGCCTAAGTAGGAGTAGCTGCTGAAAGGTGCACAATTTGCCAGAAGTTGGGTTACCTATGGTCCGCCCGTCCGACGGAGAACTCAAAACGAGACCCAATTGTTGACGTTGCTCCGAATTGTGGAAGAAAATGCAGTCGTCGCACCGTGACCGTAGCACCCGTGTCCGAAGCGCTTGCAGATCAAGGAAGGTAACAAGAACCGGGCTTGGTTTATGTGCGACTGTGCGTGAAATTGTGCCTAAAGTTTAGTCTGATTTTCCTTCAAATTGGACGCCCATTAAAGTTGATTTGTTAGGGGTAATTATGTACTTTACAACATTTATGTGGATTCAATACAATTTTCCCTTTTTTTTAACAACTAACTTATCCTACACCAATCAAACATAACAAACGCAGGATAAAAATAATCCAAACAGTACAATCCCACAAGTATGGATTATTTTTCTCCAATCCCATCCCATTAAACAAACATGGGCTTAGATTATTATCCGAGAACTCTAGACGAGCCTAGAAAAGTTAAAAGAGAGTTAG